AGTTTGGGGACAGCGGAAGGCCTGTGGTGGGTGGCAGGGCCAGGTCGTCTGTGCACCCAGGCGTGTTCGGAGTCTCCCACTCAGGGACACCCGGCCTGCGTCGGGAGCCGCTCCTCCGTGCCTTCTGCACTGAGGTTTCCTGACATCCAGGTGGTGGCCGTGCTCCAGGCACAGCTAGGGCCTCCTGGCCTCCTGTGCTCTTCCTGAGAACCGCGGTCTGCCCCACAGGTGTAAGAGGCTTGGCGTGTCCGTGAAGAAGATCTACAAGACGCAGAGGGAGAAGTTCATCTGGGCACTCGACAGGGCGGCGAGGACTTTGAATTCTGAACAAGCTCTCTGTGTTTCATTGGAACCGATTTTGTAGGTTTTCACTATTAAATCTACATCAGAATTTTTAGAGTGAAATGTTTTGCTGTAGGTATTTGCTGTCATATGGAAGGTCCTCCACACTGTGCCCTGCCCTTGAAGCATGCCTCACCCCCAGCGGGTGCCCATGCTGCCTCGTTGTCTTTTGAGTTTCTGCAGAGGGCAGGGCTCTGTGCCTGTCTGTAGCACTAACAGGCACAGCCGGTGGAAGGATCCTTAGAGGACGGATTCCAGGCCAACTCAGGGAAGGGCCTGACTGTCCTGAGAAGCCTGTGAGCTACCCCCACCCTCCACCCCAACACTGGGCTGGGACCCCTCAGGCAAAAGCACCACTTCCCCAGACAGATGGGACAGCGGGGCCCAGAGAGCCTGTCCTCTGGGAAGGCTCACTAAGTACCTGCAGCCAGGCTCTCCCTCCTGGCTGTCCCCGGGGCAGGGAGGGGGTGGCCTGGCGGGGTGGGCGAGTCCACCTGTGCGTAAGCAAACAGTGACAACAGCTGGGGGCATCCTGTGTGCAGGTGAGCACCTGACCTGGCATGGGGCAAAGGGCACGCAGCCGTCTCAGCTGAAAGTCACTCAGTAGAAGTCCCAGCTGGGTGTGCCTGATGGCTGGGACACGCAGGTTTGGCCATGGGTGGACTGGAACTGTCACCAACATGCAGGGTGGAAGGGACATCCCTGCTGTGGCCAGGCCCCCACTGCCTGCCCACAGCTCCTGGAGCTGCAGGGGGTGTGGTTTGGGAGGTGTATTAAATTCTATATTGGGGATAATTTTTCTTTTCAGTTTATAGGTCTGACCAGATGAAAACTGAGTGCACAGCCTTGAGCCAGCACAACAACCGGGTGAGACTTCCAGTGCCTTGAGGGTAAGTGTGCTGTGCACGGAAGGAGCTTAAACAGCGGTGGCTCTGTGTAGACTGTAGGAAATTAAAACTGATCACATATCGGCCCTGGCTGGGATGCTCAGTTGGTTAGTGTTGTACCAAAATGCCAAGGTTGTGGGTTTGAGCCCTGGTCAGGGCACATACAAGAATCAACCAATGAGTGCATAAATAAGTGGAACAACAAATTGATGTTTCTCTCTCAAATCAATAAAACAAAAACAAAAAATACATTAAAAATGGTCACACATCTTTGCAGCCCCTCCCACAGGGAATGGAATGTGTGTCCATCCCCGGACTCCCTTCTGCACCACCATGTGCAGCCCCCCTGCCCTGTGCACTGGGGCCAGTCCTCTAGGGCTCCTTTGTTTGGAGGTCTTGGCTGAGTGGCCTCCTGAAAACAGTCCCATGAAAAGTAATGAAAAAGACCAGGGTGCACTTCATGTATGAAAACTGTCATACCACCTCCGCATTTGACAGCTCAAACCCCTGCAAACCTGGAGGCTGCAAATAATTTTCTCACTTGTCATTTCAAAGCTCCATTCCATTGTCTTCTAACTCATGGTTCTGCTACTGAGAAGCCCCCAGGGATCTGCTGGGTCTCAGATCTTCTCTGTATCAGATGCTCGGAGACCTCAGTGTGGGCCCCTCCTTGGTGGGCGCTTTCACTCTTGTGATCCTTAAAGTCATTTCTGGTAATTGCGTTCCCACCACCCCAACTCCCGCTCGTCTCAATCAGTTTTATCACCCACCTCGTCTTTTCATTCTTTTAAAAAGATTTGCTCAACTTTACCTGTCAACAAACCTCTTTTTACGTTCAACTTTGGCGACGTGCTTCATCTGAGGTGCTTTCTTTTGAACTGTCTCCCCTGAAGTGCTACCCTGTCTTCTCTCAGTGGGTAAGTTACTTCCTACCTCACTGACGCCACTGTCCTTTCATCCCCCTTTCTACATGTTCTGCATGCTATTTCCTTGGAGTCTGTAAAAAACTTTTTTCTGTGGCTTGATTTCTCACTTGCATATTAGAAACGGTCCTCAGACGTCTGCTGACTTTGGCTTTCTGTCTGCACAGGGGTGAAGGTGACAAGCTGTGTGCTTCACCGAGGTGGCGACCACAAAGCAGGTGCTTGGAGGTGGGTGTCTGTCTCCCGCGCTCTCCTGGGCTTGGCCTTCCCAGCTTTGCACAGCTCTGGCTTCTCACCTCTGCAGGCACCTGTGGCCAACCTCAGGGACTTACGTATGGTTCCGAGAAACGGATTCCTCCTGCTGACTCCCATGGTTTGACTGGAATTTCATTGGTAGGCCGGGCCCCTGGGATTACGGACCTTGGGGACCGTTTACCCAGCTCTCCTGCTCTCCTCTTACTTATTTTTAAATTGACACTTTTTGTTCATTTTAAATTGTTGCATTTTAGTTCCTACTGGGTTGGAAATGTATAGTTACACTTAGTAATGAACATTAGATTACACTATGCATATTTAGTTTATTTAAGTCTAATATTAGCCTGGCGGTTTGGCTCCGTGGTTAGAGCTTTGGCCCCCAGACGGAAGGGTCCAGGGTTTGATTCCAGCCAAGGGCACAACCTCGGTGGCAGGCTTGACCCCCGATCTGGTCAGAGCTCATGTGGGGACAACCAGTCGACGTCTCTCTCTCACATCCATGTTTCTCTCTCTCCCCCTTCCACTCTCTGAAAAGCAATGGAAAACATATCCTCAGGTGAGGGTTAAAGAAAATTTGTCTGAAACCCATTCCCAACAATGGGAGGGTCTTAGACCATCTAATTCCCTCCAAACTTACATGCTGTTGCCCAGTATTTGGGCGACACGATTCTGTCTCATATGAGAGCCTAGCACGCGGAGAGCCCTTTCCCTTCCCCAGCCACTGTCGGGTGAAAGCCCTTCGTGATAAATGGGCTCAGGTGGTATTTATCTATAAATGTCTGATTTCACCATCTATGAAGTCACTTTGCTGGGCGTCCCCTCCCAGGAGACAGGTGTTTTCTCAGCACGCTGGACACTAACCCGCTGTCCTTTGTCTTTGTTGCTTTGAGAAATCTGCTGATCTCGGGGGCAGCCTTCCCTGACTGCTGAGCTGGCGGCTCTTTCTGAGGTGTCTGTCTTGCTGGTCGGGCAGTGCTCTCAGTGCTGTCTAGGTGCGGGTTTCTCTGTGTGCTCCATATGCACTGACTTCCTGAGTCTGCAAATGTTTTTTTAAAAAATATATATTGATTTCAGAAAGAGGGAGAGAGAGAGAAGAATCAGTGATNGAGCTTTGGCCCCCAGACGGAAGGGTCCAGGGTTTGATTCCAGCCAAGGGCACAACCTCGGTGGCAGGCTTGACCCCCGATCTGGTCAGAGCTCATGTGGGGACAACCAGTCGACGTCTCTCTCTCACATCCATGTTTCTCTCTCTCCCCCTTCCACTCTCTGAAAAGCAATGGAAAACATATCCTCAGGTGAGGGTTAAAGAAAATTTGTCTGAAACCCATTCCCAACAATGGGAGGGTCTTAGACCATCTAATTCCCTCCAAACTTACATGCTGTTGCCCAGTATTTGGGCGACACGATTCTGTCTCATATGAGAGCCTAGCACGCGGAGAGCCCTTTCCCTTCCCCAGCCACTGTCGGGTGAAAGCCCTTCGTGATAAATGGGCTCAGGTGGTATTTATCTATAAATGTCTGATTTCACCATCTATGAAGTCACTTTGCTGGGCGTCCCCTCCCAGGAGACAGGTGTTTTCTCAGCACGCTGGACACTAACCCGCTGTCCTTTGTCTTTGTTGCTTTGAGAAATCTGCTGATCTCGGGGGCAGCCTTCCCTGACTGCTGAGCTGGCGGCTCTTTCTGAGGTGTCTGTCTTGCTGGTCGGGCAGTGCTCTCAGTGCTGTCTAGGTGCGGGTTTCTCTGTGTGCTCCATATGCACTGACTTCCTGAGTCTGCAAATGTTTTTTTAAAAAATATATATTGATTTCAGAAAGAGGGAGAGAGAGAGAAGAATCAGTGATGTGAGTCACTGATCGGCTGCCTCCTGCACGCCCCCTGCTGGGGATCGAGCCCACAACCCGGGCCTGTGCCCTGACCGGGAATCGAACCGCAGTCTCCTTGATCGTAGGTTGATGCTCAACTGCTGGGCCGCGCCCGCTGGGCTGCAATGTCTTAATTAGAGAAAGGCCTTGCTGGAGCATGGCTGTCCTGCACAGTGCAGAAGCCTGTGGAGGAGACAGTGAAACAAGGCTGCACAGGTGCAGCCAGACGCGTGGAAGCTGCTTGACCCAAGCAGTCAGGCCCCGTGCAGCAGCCTCGGCTGTGGGCGGGCGCTCCGTGTTTGCAAGCTGTCTGTTCTGGCTTAAATGGTGAAGGCAATGGTTTCTGGGCCTCAAGATGGCTGGGACTTACAGCATGTCAATAACAATTTCAACATCCTCTCCTGTGATTATTTTGTTAGCCTGATTACAGGGAGACTGAGCCAGGTTAAAACTGCGGGTGCAGATAGGGTGCCCTGCCCTCACCTTCCCTCTACTCTCAACCCTACAGAAAACTGAAGCCTTGCCTGGCTGGCATGGCTCAGTGGTTGAGCATCGACCTAGGATCCAGGAGATCGTGTTTCGATTTCCAGTCAGGGAACATGTCCTGGTTGTGGGCTTGATACCCCACTGGGACGTGCAGGAGGCAGCCAATCCATGAATCTCTCTCATCATGGTTGTTTCTCTCTCCCCCCCTCTCTTTCTCTCTCTCTGAAATCAATAAAGATATATTTTTTTAAAAAAACACCCACAAAAAACAAAAGGAAAGAAAAAACCAGAGTCTTGGCCCTGCTGGAGAAAGGGTTGGGGTTGTGGGAGCGGCTGCCAGTCAAGTTGGAATGTGCATGGTCCTGGGGCTTTCCTACCTTCCTCTCCTCACGCTGCCTCCTGCGACTCCTGTCAGGGCCAAGCAGGCCCTCCAGGTGCTGCTGTTTTCCACTCCTGGCCTGTATGGGTCTGGGTCTCTTTGGACGCACCTTCTGCTGCACTGTGCTTTCCTCAGCTGTGTCCAATCTGCTATTAAACCTGCCCATCAAGCTCTCGCTCAAGAATCGTATTTTTCATTTCAAAAAATTCTCCTTTAAAAACCCTATTTGTGCCTGGCAGTCTTTGTTGCTTTCTCATTACTGTGACCATCTTTACATACATCAGATGTCACTGTTCTTGTGCCTGCATCGCCTGGCAGTTCAGTACCCTTGGAGTTCACTGCTGGGTCTGCTCACAGCAGCACTGCAGGGTCTCAGTGGGGGAGCTTTCCTCCAAAGAGCAACTGCTTTGGCTCCTCCTGGGTACCTGGGAGGCTCCACAAGCCTTGCAGCCTTCACCCTGAGGGTCCTGGCTCAGGTGGAGGCCCCAGGCTGTCTCCCACCTCACCAGCAGGTCAACACTGAGCCCACTCTGAGGGCTACTCCACCCCACACACTGCTCAGCCCTGTGACCTGAGCTCACATCTTAAATAGGTGCCAAAAACAGCCCTAGAACTGTGCTGCTGTTTGGGGGATCCCAGCAGCTACAGGGCCCCAAATAATTTGCTGTCAGTAGTTCAGCTGGAGCTGACAATGGCCACAGGGTGGCCCCAAACCACAGCCTGACCAGGACAGACAGACTGTGTCGCTGCACCCAGGACTCAGCCAAGCAACTGCCCAGATCTGTCTTAGTCATTACAATAAACTTCCAATAACATGACCTCAGTTCATTATGGCCAAGTTTATGACACACACCAAAATATTTCCCCAACAAAGACACTTGTCCCCTCCTGTCTGGCAGACGTCTCCTCCACCCCCTTGCCTGTGACATGAGGCCTAGTCCACACAGACCAGTTTCCACCTTCCTCCTCTCTTCTCCAGCCCGACCATAGTCATGGGAGGAAGTGTTCCTCACACTCACGTCCTAATACATGGCGGCCTCTGCTTCGCATGCATCACACTGTCCACTGACCACTGTCTCGAGGACCCCACTCAGGAATCCCCCCCTCTGCCCAGGAGCTCCTGTCTCCACCCTCCCCTGCCCTCCTGTGACCTCTCCTGGGCTCCCAGTCACCTGCCAGTTCCACTGGACTGTTCTGGGTCTTACCGCAATCTCTGTCTGCCTCACCATCTAATGTCCTCAAGTGCAGATACTACGGTGGGCAAACCTCAAAACAAGCAGAGGGAACGAAGGTGTGTATCCAAGAGCGTCTGTCCGATCCCGTTACTGTGAAATCCTAGAAGCAACTACGGTGACAGACACTCGCTGCCTCCTCTGAGGAGCAAGTTGACTTGGGGCATGAGGAGTGTCCTCGGGGATGGAACAGATTGCATCTCAGTAGTGCAGTGGATACAAGGTTGAAACAGGTTACATCTGTCAAGTCTTCTAATAGCAAACCCTCAAGATCTATACACGTCACCACGTGTAAGCCACACCTCAGGAAAAAACCCCATGTTATGAAGATAAATTAATTCCCGTGGGCACATCAGCATCAGGCCCTGTCCTCTGGGAAGCATGGCCTCCATGCAGAGCTGGCCGTCCTGAGACTCCACTCTCCTCTGGCTGGTCCCAGCCTGACCCACGCCGGGGCAGCCACCCTGCCTTCCTCACTGTGTGTGGAGCGATGCGCAGAGCTCCGTGCCGCAGAGATCCGATGGGGCTGCACCCAGCCCTCCACCTGCGCACGCACCCAGGCTCACTCTCTGCTGTGGACCTGCTGGTGCTGGATGAGACGGAAACTCAGGCGGAAGGCACGGCCGCACTCGGTGCAGGCAAAGGGCTTCTCGCCCGTGTGGATCCTCTGGTGCCGGAAGAATCCTGACAGGGCCCGGAAGGCGCGGCCACACTCGGTGCACTTGAAGGGCTTCTCGCCAGTGTGGATGCGCTGGTGCTCGCTGAGGAAGGAGCTGCGGCTGAAGGCACGTCCGCACTCCTGGCAGGCAAATGGCTTCTCCCCGGTGTGCACCCTCTGGTGCTGAATGAGGTTGGAGCTCTGGCTGAAGGCTTTCCCACACTCCTTACACTCGTAGGGATTTTCTCCGTGGTGGATCCTCTGGTGCCGAGCCACGTTTGAGCCGTGGATGAAGGTTTTCCCACACTCCTGACATTCATACAGCCTCTCTCCAGTGTGGATTCTCCGGTGCTTAATGGCATCTGACCTCTGGCTGAAGGTCTTGCCACACTCAGCACATTCATAAGGTTTTTCTCCGGTGTGGACTCGCTGGTGTCTAATAAGGTTGAAGCTCTGGCTGAAGGCTTTCCCACACTCCTTACACACATAGGGCTTCTCCCCACTGTGGACCCGCTGGTGCCGGGCGACGAGCGAGCTGTGGATGAAGGCCTTCCCACAGTCACTGCACTCATAGGGCTTCTCCCCGGAGTGGATGCTCTGGTGTTTCACCACGTCTGAGTAGCACTTGAAGCTCCGCTCACACGTGCTGCACTGATAAGGCCGTCTGTTCCAGTGGCCTCTGCCTGCATTCAGGGTGACGCCCGACTTGGACACACTGTCCTCATGGTCACTCTGCTCTTCAGTTTTCTCATAAACGACTAGTCCCTGTGGAGCATCTCTAGGCCTCTCTCCAGCTCCCTCATTTCCACAAAGGTCCAGAAACTCCAGAGCCTGGGGAGGACCTGGGCACAGTCCCAGCGCCCCCTCTCCAAGATATTCACCTTCTTCCAAAGTTGCCTGCTGTGGTATCAACCCTGTGCTCTGAGCCCCTTGCTCAGCAGCCTGGCCACCACTTGATGCCTGTGTGAAGGAAGCTGGAAAAGAGGGTCAGGGGTGTGGTTTTAGACGTGAGAAGACTATTAACTATAAACAGTCATAAGTGAACCTGAGAGCACTGGTGGCCCATGGCAACGCCAGGAGTAACAGCACAAAGTCAGTGTGCACTAGACACCGCATGTGGTTCCCACCCAGGTCTCCCTCCCTTCTGACCTACATGGGGCGAGGAATGGACAGACTGGAGGATGACGAGTCAGGCTCCTTCCCTGACCCCCGGCCCTGCACACCCATCCTGCCACCCGGCCTGGGATGGAGCAGAGGGGCCGGGAGGTGCAGAAACAAAGGCCCTGACAGCATGTGTCCTGGTCCCACCTATCACTCTGACCCTGAACTCCCCAAGACAACACTGTCCTTCACAATCCCCCCAACCTGCTGACCTCAAAAGGCTCTGTTCCTTGCAGATACCAGCACCAGAGGGGTAGGCAGCTGTAGGGGCGGCTGGTTAGTGAGGTCCCCATGGCTCACAGCACAGAGAAGGTGCCAGTTTAGACCAGAGCATCAGGGATATGGCAGCATAACATGGGGACGTCGGAAGGCTAGGCAGTCACGGAGATCATCGGGCTCTCCTGTCACAGGTGCTGCAGGGGGCACCTGGGGAGGTGGTCAGGACAAGGGCAGGGCTACCAGGGCAACATGGCACCCAGGTTAAGAGAAAGGCCTTCTGCCTACGGGCAGGAATCTGACCAGCCACACAACCCAGGAATCAGACAGCAGATGTGACAAAGGCACCCGCAGGCCGGCCGGATGTGATTCCTGGGCAATTAGGGTGGGTGGTGGGGATGGGTAGGTGCCCACAGAACTTTTCCATTGACCTCTAACAAGGGGACTGTAAAGTTGGACAGGCGGGAGCGTGTGCAGGACGAGTCATGGGATCAAAGACGACATGAAGACACCTCTCTGTGAGGGGAGGTGGTCGTGCCCTTAGCTCTGGTCACGTAATCATGGACTAACAGCAACAGCAGAAAACTGAATATGAGTCCTTGGCTTTGACAGATCGACGTGGCCTTAAATCTCAAACTCTTCCTGTTACCTGCTCTGAGCTGACACTGTTGGGCCTGGGAAACAAGCCCAGAATCTATCTTCTTGTTCTCAGAAATCTCCAACATGAGACTTGAGAAAGAAGGGTGCAGAGTATGGCAGGGGAGCTGGGATGGAGTGGAGGTGGCGAGGCCTGCGAGTGCTGTGGCAGGAATGAAGTGGCAGCTATGTCGCCTGCGGATGAACTTGGGGAGCCCTGACTTCTGATCTGTCCCCATTCCCTAGCCCCAGACCAATCCCCCTGCCTCCTCTGGGCTTGGCTGCCCATCCCTCACCTGTGCATGTGTCCATCAGGGTAGTCTGCTCACAATGCCTGGAGACCAAGGCCAGGGCTCCCCTCCCTGCAGACATACCAGGAGTGGGGACACCTGCTTGGGCAAAAGAAAGGGGAGAAAGTGACGGGGGGGGGAGGGGGGAGGTAAGAGCCTCTGAGGTTCTGAAGGAGCCACCTCACCTGCAGGACCATCTATTGCTTGATCAAGGTTCTAACTGAACAGACACCTCAGGGACCACAGCCTCAGCAGAGATGGGTGTGCACCACCTGCTGGCCCCTTGCTCCATGAGGACCTGGCGGAGCACCTTCAACCAGTCCTCTAGAGAAATATCCACAGTTTTAATTTTCTTAATACTTATAACAACTTGAATATAAAAGTAAGAAGACACTATGTGAATGGTGCAATTTTGGATTGAAGTGTAACACACCCACACAAAAAAATTTAGTGTTAAAAACAAAAAGAGGGAAGGAGTATTTGCATCATAAAGATTCACATCCTTATGTATAAAGACCACTACACACTGAGGAAGCAAAAGGAAAAAAAATTGGAAACAATCATGAACAGGTGACCCACCAAAGAAAACAAGTGGCCAATACATTTTAAAATATAAGTCCCACATTTGTCCCACCTCATTAGTAATTAAGAAATGGAGTTTAAAACACCATTTTTTGTCTATGTCCATGGGTTATGCACATATGCATATAAGTCCTTTGGCTAATTTCTAGTGCAGGGTGGATGGGGTCAATGGGGGCAAAAAGGGGGATACCTGTAATACTTTCAACAATAAAGATAAATTTTAAAAACACAAAACAACAAAACCTAAGCCAATATTAAAGCTCAAGCTGCCTGTCACTCAAACTACTGAAGAACCTCTTACTTGGGGTCCCTCCACTTTTATCCACTATTGCTTATGGCGATCAATAAATGAATTACTATCCAGGAAAGGGAAAAAAAGAAAAGAAGATAAAAGAAAAGAGAAAAGGAAAAAGAAATTAAAAAAGAAAAAGACCATTTTTTACTCTGAGAGTAGCAAAGACTTAAAAACGGCAGCACCCGCGAGCAAGGAGCTTCACCTGGTTCACCGGTACTCGCCTGGCGGTCACAGGACAACTTGCAAAGGCGCTGAAATCACACCGATCCCACTGCCGTGATTTATCTACACGGAAACTTCATCTCCAACCTTACACAGGAAAGCCTGTGAATTACGTAATTTCAAATAAAGAACTAGGGAGGCTCACCCACGCCGGCAATTGGGAACGCAGCGACCCCTGGCGGCCGTCACGTTGGTAGTGGGAGCGCGGTCCCCGGCTACAGCCGCAGTGTCGTCTCCCCGCCTCCACTTTCTTCAGCGGAAGTGCGGCTCTTTCTCAGCGAGAACCCAGGACTGACACGCCCTGCACCCCGGTTCACGATCGCGCGGCCCGGCCCAACGTCAGCCGCCCTCAAACCAGCCCGCACTCGCAGTCCCCGCAGCCAGGCCGGAGCAAGTCCTACCCCTCAACCCGCGACGCAGACACTTCCGGCAACACTATAGGGTTTGGGAGAATTGTGCGCTTACTTACCCGGAAGACCCTGGCGCGGGCACTTCCTGCGACGCTCTAGGCCGCCGGAAAAAAAAGAAGAAAAAAAAAAACAACAACGCTCGGCCGCCCTGGAGGCCGCGGCGCGAGCACTTCCGGTGACGCTCTAGAACTCAAGAGTTATGCTTTCAGCTGCCCTGTAAGCTGCAACACGGGCACTTTCTGTGATGCTCTGGGGCGCCAGGAAAACCCCCCTGCGCTCTGCCTGGAGACGGCAGTTCGAGCCCTTCCGGCGGCGCTCCAAGCTTACGGAGGACTGTGCGCTTGGCTGCCCTAGAGGCGGCCCCTCGAGCCCTTCCGGCGACGCTATAGGCGGCCGGATGACTGCTCTCAGCTGCCCGGGAGGCCGTGGCACGGGCGCTTCCGGCGACGTCCTAGGCTGCGGGAGGAGTATGAGCTCAGTTGCTACTGGAGGCCGCTGGGCAGGCGGGCTGGTCGCCCGGCGCTGGCTTTCTTTTGAGAGTCTTAAAGGCGGGTTTCCTAGCTCGAGTGCAAGGCCCCTCTCCAGGTATTGTTCAGCCCATCTTCATAGCAACCCCGCCTCCTTCCCGCCGCCTCGGGCTTTCCAGACTCCCCGGCCCTCTGCCAGCCTCCACTCCCCGCGCACCTGCCGGAGGCAGCTCTACCGTCTTCCACGTGGGCTCCACCGCGTCCAGCCAGGTGCGAGGGTGAGGTCAGGGAAGCAGGTCTGGGTTTGGTGATCGAGCTGACTGCGAAGTGAGCGAATGAACGAAGTCGGCGCAATGGAGACAGGAGAGCGCCAGAGGGAAGGAGGTCACGGACTCAGGAAGCCTCTCCATGGAGAAGAGCAGGAGAACATCGGCAGGGC